CGAGCGAGTTTCCCAGGTCCAATAACATCGCGATGTTGCCGGTTCACACAGTCGCCGCGGTCAGGTCACCGCTACCGCACCCGCTTCTGCTTAGAACGAGCCTCATTCGCATTATCTTTATTCCATTTATTGCCATAGTCTTAAGGCATAATGTTTGTTGTTACAAGAGTAATGTACCTGCTTGGTCTTATGTACGTGCGTTATGTTTACTTTTTATCATTCTTTTCTCTGAAACGTATACGTACATTTATTACATTTCACTTTACTAAATGAATGTTTAAACAATAATTTCGTTTAATGAAATGTCAAACTATATTGTGTTTACAATGTTGTGATTAGTATAAAATGGTACCCAAAGCTATAAAAGTAACTGTTTATTACCTTTATTATACAGTTAACTGAGTGAGTATAAGTAATTCTAAGAAACTATACGTACACAAAATGTCACATTGTTGGGGAATATAAGTGGCTAAGTTATCTTATAAAACTATTTACCTTAAATTAAATAATAAAGATATGAATCTCTTAACGACGAATGTCAGGAATTTTTACTGGGTGCTACATGAGTGAGATTTAGACACCAAGTGTAGGTATGAGGCTAATTCGTCCTTGTCAGCTGAGGATTATTGAAAATACTCTATGTCTGTAAATTGATGCGGCCTGATAAGGTTAATTGGCAGAAGGATATCAACGAGACAACAGAGAGCTGAGAGGCAATAATGCGACGGGAAACTGGTGGGTGTGATAGGCACCACGTACCACCGACCGTTTTATTTTACGACCGCGATTGCGCGCGCGCTGATTGAGCTCTATCAACCACAATACGTATCGAACCTTAATTAAATTCGACAGCCAAGTATCAGCTTGTCTTTCAGCAAGGAGTTGTATATCGTTCAGCTTTTACTATTCAAGATGCCTTGAAGACAGACTTTATGAGAACATTTAAATCAGTAACTAGGCGCAGTTCAGATTGATTTATGTTTATAATGATCTGCTTTCCCAAGAAGCGGCGATGATAAACGCGTAGGCTAGGGAGTTGTTATCGCGAAGCCTATTTCCGGCCGTCAAAGCTCGTCGAGTGCGGATCTCGATCATCGGCCGATACATTTGTCGGCTCACACCACCTCGCCGCTGCAGTCTGCGTTCGCGCATGCATCGATCAATATCTGCACAGAGACGCAGCGGACTCTGCTCAATTGAATACCGATAAATATAATGGAAGTTGTTGCCGTTTAAGTAAGTAATGGTTTTTTGAAAATTGATGTTAAGTAGGATATTTCAAATTATTGAGATGAAGGACTTACGTGAGAAGTGACAGTTTTGCCACTTTAGGCGTACGTGTAGATCTGTATCCGAGTGTAGGCGGCTGTGAGCGGCGGTATGCAAAGTGACGTTTCTATTTTGCCCTATCTCAGCTAGATCTGTCGCGGCGTGTCGTAATCGTAACGCGGCGAGATGGCACAGCACAAAGGAGCCGAGATGTACGGCCGACGTAATGGCCGAGCACGTCACAGACCTCAGAGCCGCGCTGCAAGGCGACTGCGATGCATATCTACGCTACGGCTCTGTAAATGGGCCGTTTTGGGTATCTACTTGCTAATGAAGCTCCGACTGCATAGCGAAACTGGACTGTGAATTTACAGATATGACAGTCGTAATAGCTGTATTGTTTGTAGAATTCTGGCTTTATGGAGTGGATGCAATTATTGTGGAGACTGGTTTGCTACCGGCCGGTGGGCTTTATTGATGTTAGGGCGAGCGAGGTGATGGTTATCTTTGTCATTTCTATTCCTTGTGTTTGTTTACTGCCTATACTTTCAACGGAGATGTTTACTTGTGTTTCTACTTACTTCAGAAAAGTACAACAACATGATATGTTGTCCTCTCTATGATAAAGTGGCGACATTCAAAAAGTAACAGTTTTGGGAAGCTGACAAAATAGATTTAAAAAAATAATATTATATATATGGCCAAAGGTGATGGCCCAATAGGTGTGACCTATTGGACTATGATATGACTAAATTATACAAGCACCGGTCTATTAAACTAATAAAATCCCTAAAATAAAGCAGAATTTATTTCAGTGTAGTCGGTTTTTTACTTTTTTATTTTATGTCTAAGTCGAAAATAAATGCGTTCGCGTAAATTTCATAAACTTTTTTCAGCTCGAAATAAATTTTTATTAATAAGAGTTCGATTTTATCAATGTTAAACAGTTACAATTTTTAAATTTTCTGATGTGTCTGCTAATGTTCACAACACGTAAAAAATGTGTTTGTTTTATTTATTTTGTTTTTCATTTAATAAATGTTGAATGAGGCTGTGCAAAATCGATGTTAAAAGATTTTCATTTAATAGCTACTTTATATCTAACTATTATTTATTTAAACATAAACTACTATGTGATACTATTTTATATAGTCTTACTTTTTTGTTCCGCAAAAGTGCCATCATCGTATGTAT